GTTTCTATACTTGAGTTGAGGGTCCTCTGAAAATAGCCTCTCTACCTCCATGAGGTAGGAGAATGGATATAATTCAATAAAGTGAGTGTTGCTCTTCTCGCTTAAAGAAATATGAACTTTGTTTCTTTTTCTCCTTATCACCAAATCCAAATGAAAGGTCACCTTTAAAACAAAGTATGGCTTTCATATAAATGATTTTTGATTGCTTATTTGTTGTAAATGTCCCTTCATATGTTTAAGAATCGTGTATTGAGAGTTTTTTTTTTTTGGCAAGTTTGAAATACTTAAGAAAGGGAAATTTTATGCAAACTTTAATAAATGTGATTTTTAGGGTTGTTTTCTTGGGGTTTGTAGTAAGATGGAAGGGCATAAAAGTGGATGAGACCAAAGTAAAGGCTATAAGGGATTTACCAACTCTTAAGAGTGTTGAGAGGTTTGGAGCTTCAATGGGTTAGGAAGCTTTTATAGGAGGTTTTGAAGAGGATAGAGTATAGCAGTTGCCCCCTAATATGATATGATTAAAAAGGATAATGGTTTTGTGGCGGGTTAAAGTAAGATAAGTCTTATAAGAAGTTGAAATATAAGCTAAATTAGTTCGCCTCATTTATTGCAACTTGCAAATTATGACAAGACCTTTTTGGTTGAGTTTCATGCATCGGGGAAAGCTATTTGAGTCGTTCTCATGCAAGATAAATAATGACATGAAACTCAAGGTAGGTTGAATCAAAGGCATGCTACTGGGTAGAATTTCATACAAGGAAACGATATTGTGGTTATCCATATGCTTTTTAGGAAATATTCCTTAATCAAAATTTTGAGTCCTAAGTTGGAAGGTATAAAGGATTTATATGCTAGTGATATTGAGTCTCGTAAAAACTATAGTGCTCGTTAGTCTAACGTTCCATGAAAGAGTTGTCTGCTATAGGCCCATGATGGTGGAATGATGGAACATTTTAGGGTTCATAAGACACTTAGACATTTTAGCGGAAAAAATTATTGGGCACACATGAGATGGAATGTAGAAAGGATGCATAGCCAATGTCAAAAACACAAGCAAACTATGTCTAAAATGTTGCCTCAAGGTTTATAACACCTTTACTCTATTCTGAATAGACCTTGGTTGGATATTTCTATTGACTTTGTTGTTTATTTCAAGGCATATGATAAAATTGAAATGATAAATGGCTATCAGTAGATCGTTTGTAACTTTCTAAGTCCGATTATGCTGGTTTTGACTCTGATGGAGGTAATTTGGTATCTTAGGCTAACTGTGGACTTTATTACTCAAAACTTGTGTAGTAGTCTCTCTATTTCAATTTCTATCTTAATAATCAATTGATATGTGTAGACTTCTTTCGCCTCCTTTTTGTAATTTAGGTTAACCTTACATGGTTTAATAATCTTGTGTGTTTTAAATCTCTTCAGCTACTGCCTTGACAAAGTCACCTTCACTGAATATGTCCCTTGGGTATGCGACGAATGCAACGAGAATGAAATCACTAGAACAACGAATTCTGATGTTGTCCCACCTGTAACTGATTTGGTAGAGCATAGTCATGTTGTTGATGATCCTATTTGGAGGTGAGTACATATCTCACAGATTATTCAGAATTTATTGTTGTATACATTGTGAATAAAAATATTTGTTCGAGGTTGCTATAACATTTGGAACAACAAGTATACGCTTGACGGAGTTGTTACTCACCTCTCCCACAAAGCAAGTCAAAGTGTTTCTGAACAAGCAAAGTTACTTCAACTTCATCTTCACTTTGAAATGGTTTCAAGACGATTTATGGCCTAAGTATTTCAACACACCAGAGGCTACTGTCGATGACATCGAGTTGTTTTTCTTCCCCTCGGAGGCAAGGTAAGTACTTTATATGTTCACCATTTTATGCTTAGTGCTATTCATCAAATTTGTTTTGTTTTCATTTTCATTTTCTCCGTACAGACACCAGGATAAATTTGATAGTATGGTTCAAGATATGATTGGTGGAGAACATGCTCTCCGAGCATTAACACCATATGGGGAGCTATTGGTTTTCACATCCACAGAACTGCCCCTGCGTCACTGGAGTAAGTTTTTAGTTTTTACTTATTTTGTGCTTTCATTAACTGTTATTAGTCCATGTTCATTGTTAACTTATTTGAGAAACTGGTTGACAGGATACCAACAGAAATGCTACTTATGGGGCATTTTCAGAGCGACACAGGGTTCTAGTAGCCGTCTACTGGTACCAAACAGGAATCGAACTCCTGACAATATTTTGGCTGCCAGAGATGCTGTGAACCATAGGTCCCTTACTGAGGACGATGCACAAGTTATGACGAACGAGTTGGGAAGAGGCAAGAGGATTAGAAAAACAATTGCTAGGTTGGATGACTATATATTATTGTAGTTGGGATTAAAGTTGGGTACAATAGAGTCAGCCAAAAGGACAGGGGAATCAATATCAGTTTCTTTATCTACCATTTGACTGAAATTAAACTTTGCAATGGACAAAAGTTTCGTATTATTCACTATGTTTCGGATCTTAGTATTGCTGGCTCTCGAGGATTTCTCGATTTTCAACAAATGTAAACAGTTTTTTTCATCAATGATGTTATGTGAAATGTTACCATATGTAATATGTCATCTGTTTAGCTATAAAAGGTAGTTTTGGTATTAGGTAGCGGACAGTACATTCACATTTTACAGTATGGTATTCTTATTATTGTTAATGACTCATACAGTTAACTGTCGATTAATTAAGAAGTGTTTGAACTGGCTACTTAATTTGAAAAGTGCTTTTGTCAATATTAGAGCAACCATTTGTGTTTGATCAAGATTTCAAAAGTGTTTCTACGTGTTTTCAATAGTAGCAACAATAAATAGTCATAACAAACGACCGCATAAAGTTCAAATCAAAGCGAAAACCTTCCCTAGATTTTGCTGAGTAAATCAAAGTCACAAGACGACGACAACAACAACATAGTAATTATACTTGATTTTGATCACACAAGTGGAATTTGGAGAGGGTAAGACAGCAACAACAACATAATACTTAATTTAAAACAAATTGTTAAATTAATTGACGATATGCATATCATTCAGTACTACTAATTTTAATTTGCACATTTGGTTTAATTTTAGGGATAAGACACAAATACTCCCTAGACTATGACCGAAATCTCAAAGACACACCTTAACTAAAGATACGTCCTATTACCCCCTCGAACTCATTTCTTTTGTAATTTTGTACACCTTTTGACTTACGTGGCACATTTCGTTACTCCACACAGTTGAGGCGCGTGGGAGATATTTGGATGTCACGTAAGCCAAAAAGGTGTACAAAATTAAAAAAAAAAATGTGTTCAGGGGTAATAGGACCTTAGTTTAGTTAAGATGTCTCTCTGGGATTTCGGTCATAGTCTAGGGGGTACTTGCACCTTATCCCTTAATTTTATAAAAAAAAAAAAGGAATTTCTAACGTGGCATACTTGAAAATTTTGAAAGATTAAAGGATGAAAAAAATAGTAATTAATTCAAAGTTAAATATGTTCAATCATGTATCACAGTAAGATTAATATTTAGCAATAATTTAGGGGCTAGTAGTGTTATTTATGAGTTAAAAAGGTTAAAAAACACACCTATAGTACTATTTTAGTTTTTTTTTTTAATTTCATATATGAACTATTAATCGTGTAAGTTTCTTAACTAAACTATCACAAAATGTTTATCAAAACACATAATAACTATCAATTGTTTATTTTTTCTACCTCGACAATGATAATATTTCATATAGAAAAAATGAACAACTAATAATTCATATGTATTTCGATAAACATCTAATGTTAGTTTACGTATACACACATGATAGCTCGAGTATTGAGATTTTTTGGACGTGTTTTATATATATATATATATATATATTGTTAGGTCACTTTAATTAAGAAGGCATTGCATCGATAAAGGGGGTAGTTTTTCGAAAAATCGATACAGATAGTTGCTAACCAAAATAAATACAATACTCTATCAGTCTAAAAATAAGTGTTATTCTAGGAAAAATTATGTTTATTAATAAATACATGTATAATTTACTAAATTAGTTTATTTAATAATATTTTGAATTTTTACGATGGTACTTATTTTGGACAAAATAACTTCTTCTTTGTTGGTGAAATAACACTTATTTTGAGATGGAAATAGTAATTGATATTTTTATTTGCATATTTAAATAGGTAATTATTTTGAGGGATCAAATTAGGGTTGAATATAAAAAATTGAAAATTTAATTACCGAATTGAATTGAAATTTTTGATAATTTAGTATGGTATTCGAGAGTAAAATTTTAGAACTACGGTATTCTTGAGTAAAATTTTAGAATTATAATATTGGGTTTGGGTTTGGTATGAGACATTAATACCAAATGGTATTCGATATTTCCCAAATATCAAATTATTTACTTAATGAAAGTCATATATCAACATATCCATTACTAATTAGTTTAAGTCCAAAGAGAGTTAAAGAATAAGCATAAACAATCTAAACACACGTCTTTTAGTTGTATCAATTTGTTTTTTTTTTATGTTTTCTTACTTGTTGATTTTCTATTATATTGCATCTCCGCATTAAAAAAATTAGAAATGATAGGAGAAGTAGTATTAACTTTGTAATACAATTGGCTATGACTTCAATACGGTATTAGTGAATACCATATCAAATCGAAGTTAATTTACCGTTTATTCAATTACCGAACCAAAATCTAAAAAATTGTTATTTGATACTCTCTCCGTTCCATTTTATGTGAAGTCGTTTGATTCGGCACAAAGTCTAAGAAAGAAGGAAAGAAATACTTTTAAAACTTGTTATCTAAAATGAATAATAGAAATTTGGGAAACCCGAACATAATAGCGAACATACTTATGTCAGAGAAGTATCTATATTTACCTATCAATTACCAAACTCGAAATTTGAGAAACCCGATCTCCCACCTCTAGATCAAATATACATTAAAAACCCTATGAAACTATTGTCCAAATTTGTCCTAATTCAGCCTTTTGTCACCCTGCTTCCAATGCCACTTTTAGGGGTTTAGCAGAAGAACGATGAAATTGATTTTTCATTCCAAAAAATTGTTACCATATTCTAATATACATTAATATATACAGCTGCGAGGTGCATAATGTTCTGATTTTTTCTCAATTCTCATGCAGTTGTTTCTGGGTCCTCACATTTTTTGTTTCCGCCATGGTATGTTCATATATGTTTTCTCATTCCTCCTGTTCGCCTTAGTATTAATTCTCATTGATTTTTTATTTTTTTTATCACAAGTTATAATTTTCTCTGTTGACTGTCATTGTGGTTTTTCAATGTAGTAGTATTTCTTATTTTAGAAATGTGTTGTTCGAGTTAGCTTGTGTACACCTGGAAACAAAAGATACTGTTTGATGTTGTATGTATGGTTTAATTTTCTTTGATGAAGGGGATTTGGATTGCGGTGCCCGTACCTGCTATCTCTACCACCAACACAAGTTTTGAGTAACTATCTCCTTCAAGGCTCGGGCAAATGAGAAGAAATCACGTGGTGTTTTTGTATCCCTTTGGGGTTTGAACATTAGACTCATTGTTCTCAATCCCAATATGGTGGATATATCTTTTACTTGTTTTAGAACCATGGTGTTCGGAAATAACCTTTCTACCTTTAAAGGGTGGGGGCACCGCCCTTCCTAGACTCCACTTGTGGGATTACTAAGATTTATTTCACAAGTTCTTGCTACCAATGGCGTAGCGAGGATTTTCAAGATTCAAAGTATAGTGAAATAGTCATAGGAAGAAGTCCTATGGAGATTTTATCCTTTGGGGTGACCCAGTGGTTTGGGCTTGGGACTTCCACGTTGGAGGTCTCATGTTCGAAACCCCTTGCCAGCGAAAGCAAGGGGTTTAGCTTCTGGGTCGAGCTCGTCGCATCAGGTTTGCCTAGTGCAGGTTACCTTTCTTGTGTGGTTTGCAAGCTATCGCATAGGAGCGAGGGTTTTACCACATGTGCACCCAAAGGGTAACAACTGCAAGTTTCCCCTTGTCATTAAAAAAAATTCCTATGGAAATTTAATATCTAGTATATACACAAAAAGATTTTTTTTTTTTTGATGACAAGGGAAACCCATAGCTGCTACCCTTTGGGTGCGCATCGGGTAAAACCTCCGCTCCTATGCAATAGCTCGCAAACCACATAGGAGAGGTAACCCGCACTAGGCAAGCCCGGCACGACGAGCTCGACCCAGAAGGCAAACCCCTTGCTTTCGCTGGCAAGGGGTTTCGAACTTGAGACCTCCAACATGGAAGTCCCAAGCCCAAACCACTGGGCCATCCCGAAGGGTACACAAAAAGATATTTTAATCTTGTATATATAGTGTAATTTTTTTTATGAAGGGGATTTGGATTGTGGTACCCTAGCTTTGTCTATACCTGCTATCTATACTAACAAATGTACCGAGTAACTATCTCCACCAAGGCTTGGGCAGATGAGAAGAAATCACATGGTGTTTTTGTATCCCTTGGGGTTTGAACATTAGACCACATAGTTCTCAATTCCAATATGTTGTTTATAATTTTTACTTGTTTTAGAAACCTCTCTACCTTCAATGGATAGGGGTACCACCCTTCCCAGACCACACTTTTGGGAGTACATTGGTGTATGTTGTCATTTGTTGTTGAAGTTCAGGCCAGTTTGTGCACATCTGGACGGATTTCACGGGGTACCTGCTACGGTGGTGTAGCGAGGATATTCAGGATTCAAAATATGATGAAGTTATCATAGGAAGAAGCCCTGTGGAGATTTAATATCTAGTATATACACATAAAAGTATATATAGTGTAATTTTCTTTCATTAAGGAGATTTGGATTACAGTACCTAGCTCTGCCCATGCTTGCTATCTCTACCAACACAAGTAGCGAGTAACTATCTCCGCCAAGGCTTGGGCAAATGAGAAGAAATCACATGTGTGTTTTTGTATCCGTTGGGGTTTGAACGTTAGACCTCATTGTTCTTAATCCCTTTATTGACCACTGGGCCACAATTTTGGGTGAAATATGGTGGGTATAGTTATTGATCACCTCTTTTGGCGTTCATGGATGTATTTAGTTTTATACAACAAGGTCCACCATAGAGAGGATAAATTTGTATCTATTCAGTCTCCATTGACAGAACAGCTCTGAAAGAACCTTTTACTTGTGGATTTGTTGTTTCACCATCTTCTCTTTGTTACGATGGAGCTATCAGATTTACTTTGCTTGTTATAGTTTGTGGATTGTGAAATTGTTTGGGTAAAATAAGAAATTTCATGTGCAGATGAGGTATTATTGTGTATGTATTCTTTTACTTAAACAGCATTAACTTGTTTATAATTGCATAAAATCCAACATAACACAAACTTTGCATTATTTGTATATTGTTTTGCATATGGCTGCATTTTTAATTATTATTTCGCCATGTTGTGCAGGTGATAATATGTCTACAGTGTGGTGACAAAGGATTCTCTAACGCATTTGTATTTTGTGTAAAATGTCTTGAAGTTGCTGTACATCGGTAAGTTAGATTGTTACCAAATGTCATTTTTAAAGTTCAGTCATTTTACCGTCTCTTATTAGCTTTTGTTTTTCATTTTTGCTCTTGATTTCTGCCCTGCTATTTTGCATGAACGTGCAAAGAATTGCCTTATTACTAGCAGGAACATGTATATTAGTTGATGATGGAACTAAGATGAGTTCCTGTGTGATCATCAGAACATGTTCTTGGTATCTGTCAACTGTAATCATGAAAGAAAATATTTAAGACCGTTCTGTAAATCCTGTTTTGGTTTGGACTAGCGATATGCGTATAGTTCTACTCTTCCAACAAAGGTTAAGTCAAGATGAACATTTCAGTAGGCAGATGTTTTTTTGGAATCATATCGTCTATAGCAATGTTTTTGACAGCGAGAAGTGCAAAAAAGGGACAAGGAAAAGAAAAGCTTAAGCAATGTTTCAGCAGGCAGAAGTTTAATCCTGACTTCACTGATGAGATTGGCTTTTTCATCTTTTGCCACAAAAAGAAAAGCTAAATCTGATAAAACTGGCACCCAAAAGCGTGGCATAGTGGTCAATGAAGTGGTTGAGAGTCATGAGGTCTTAAGTTCAAATCCCAACGGAGACTAAAAATACTAGGTGATTCTTCTCATATGTCCTAGCTTTGGTGGACTGAGTTACCTAGTACATGTTGCTGGGAGGTGGCAAATGTTCCATGGAATTAGTCGAGGTGCCCAAAAGCTAGCCTGGACACCACGGCCATAAAAAAAATCTGATATAACTGTTTGCACCAGAAACAAAAAAGGCTAATGCAATTCAATATGATCTTCTGTACTGCATTGCTGCTGTCTAAGGAAAAAACCTTCGGGAGAACCATTGATAAGGATTGAGAATTTTGAGTGTTGAAATACAGTATCTTATCTAGTTAATCCATTTTCCTCCAAAACTCATGCATGAGAGCAACTTCAGCAAGGATTCCCAATTGACATGATTATAGGCCTTTCCAATGTCTAGCTTCTGGAATCACCTTCTCCATTGGCAATTAGGACATCCATTATTTTGGCATTCTTCAATGAAAGCCATATGTTGAACATCCACCAGCTTACGAATGACCCTTTCAACCTCTCTGTTAGAACCTTTGGTAGTAGCTTGTACATACTTCCTATAAGGCTTATAGGTTTAAGTTCTCTTAAATCCTTGGCTCCTGTCTTCTTAGGAATCAAAGCTATGTAAGTTGTGTTGAATTTTTTCTCAAAAACTCCATGAGAATGGAAATTCTTGAAAGTTTTTATGTTGTCCTGCTTCAGTACTTCCCAACATTTGATGAAAAAACTCATTGTGTAGCCATCTAGACATGTATACTCCTCTTGCTCATCAAAATCCCTTTGTAGAGCTTCTTTTTCAACTTCAGTGATGACTGGGCAAATGATAAAATTGCATGATGGTCTCCGGTCCTGAGTCTCAGAGTAAAGCTTCCTATAAAAATCAAATATTCCCCCCTTAATTCCAACTGGATCTCCCACTTGTTCATCTTGAATTACTAGTTGGTCTATATTACTATTTCTCTTATGATCATTTGCCACTTTACGAAAGAAGTTGGTATTCTTGTCCCCTCCTTGAGCCCATAAGGCTCTGGGTCTTTGTCTCCGTGAAATTTCTTCATTTTTGATGTATTCTCCATGTTCCATCAGAAGAGCCTTCAGTAGTGATTCTGCTTCTGTCGGAATTTTGTTCTCCTGTACAACATCCAGATTAGCCAGTTGACTCAGAACCTTCTATAAAATCAGAATATTCCTCCATAGCTGGAGTTCTTCTCTTGCAATTTCATTGTTCGGAAGGAAACTTTGTCACATTAAAATCTCCACAAACGGCCCATGGCCCTTCCAACAGTCCCGTAACAACTCCTGTTTCCTCCCACTCATTTTCCCTTTCCAGATAACAATTTGGGGAATATACTCCCGTTACGTGGCACTCAAAAGTCTTGAAGAAGTGCGACAGACTTGCAAGTAAGAGTATATAATCCAATTTCCAAAGTCTCCCCTCTCCATGCTATATCATCCCACAACATCAGAATTCTCCCTCTAGTGCCACTTGCTTCTAGGCAGGAAAATTTCACCCATCTCCCTCCCTGTAACCCTTTGACAATCTCTTCGGCATCCCCCTCCAACTTAGACTGCTGAAGACAATGATATCAGCCTTTCAGTTGTACATAAGGCTCTTCAGAATTCTTATTTTAACCCTATTGTTTAATCCCCTTACATTCCATGTCACCAATTTGAGTTTCATTGTAAAAGGTTGCCATCTTTTCCCCGAACTCTCCTCCCATCACTTTTGATCTTAACATCAAAGAGGTGAGCCCCTTGAGTTCATGTGTCCCTTTGTTTCTAGGCCTCTTTAAAGATGCCTCGTCTCCGGGAGCCTTGCCTGTCTGCAGCTATCTATTTGCATCAGTAGTTCCCATGCTTCTTCCTCATGCTCCTGGAAGTCGACCCTGATAATTTTACCAAGAAGTTGAGTTTCATGGTTGTCATTAAATACTGATAATGGTTTTAGGTTAACCTTTACATGTCTTTCTTTAGTTTGTTAATATTCCATGTTTTAATCTTTTCAGCTACTGCCTTGATAAAGTTCCCAGTACATTTGATGAATTTGTCTATTGGGTCTGTGATGATTGTGAGGTGAAGGTGCCAAATGAACTCACTATCATGAATTCTGTTGGCGTCTTACCTGAAAATTGCACTAGTTCAAGACATCTTAAAGCAAGTTCTGAAGCAAAACTTGATATTCCTCCATCGATTGCTGAGGTAGATTTAACGGCGGTTCAAAATAAGTCTTCCGAGAAAGATGTTGAGAAACATCCTAGAATTGATTTGGTAGAGCATAGTCACTTAGATAAGAAGTCTAATCCTACGTCTCTGATAGATAAGAAAAACTGTATTCATGCTGTCGTGGAACAAGCACAACCTGTTCTTGATCCTATTTGGAGGTGAGGAGATATCTCACAGATTATTCAGTTGGGTGATAATTCATCAATATTGACCTGTCGTATTGTGAATGAAAATGTCCGTTTTCTTGCACTTTTTTCTGGCAGGGGTAGTTTTAACATATGGAACAAAGAGTATAAGACATTTGATGGACTTGTTGCTCACCTATCAGTCAAAGCATGCCAAAAGGTTTTTGAAGAAGCGAAGTTATTTTCACTTTTGCTTCACTTGGAAATGCTTCCGAAATCTGATATATGGCCTAAGAGTTTCAATACATTAGAGCCTAGAGATGATAACATTGCATTGTATTTCTTTCCTTCGGATGCAAGGTAATTACTTTATATTTTCACCATTTTACACATAGTTTTCGTCATATTCGCTTTGTTGACATTTTATTTTTCTCAGTACAGATACGAGCAGGATTTTGATCATTTGATTGAGGAAATGATTGGTGAAGAATTTGCTCTCCGAGCAGTTATGACAAATGCAGAGCTGTTGGTTTTCACATCCACAGAACTTCCCCTGCATAACTGGAGTAAGTTTTCACTCGATTGTACACCAAAGCTTAGATCTTGATTTCATTGTTAAGTTGTTTGATGAAATTGGTTGGCAGGATTCCAACACAAACACTACTTATGGGGCGTTTTTAGAGTGAAGCAGGAATCTAGTAGCTGTCAAATGGTATCGAACAGGGTTAAATCTGTGATACTTCAAACTCCTGGGAATGTTTTGGCTGCCGGAGATCATATAAACCTTGTGAAACTCAAAACTCCGCGTGCTGAGAGTCCTATTAGCACTTTAAGCAATAACGTAAGCTTTGGGTCTGGCACTTCCTGAGGCATCTGTCCTCTTCTTTTCATGTTGAGCTTCTCAATATGAACTAGTATCTGTACCATTTGACTGACATGAAAAAATTGAGACCTCACGAATGTGTTTGTGGGCTGTTGGTGAATAACCTGGTTGAAAAAACGACAAAGCTGGTCTAATGATAAGAGCGCATCACATGATGTGACATGATGTGAGAGTTTAGACGCACATGACTGGCTAAGTGAATTAGGGATGAATCCATTATCCACCAGATTTCGGATCTTTGTGCTGCTGGTTCTCAGAGATTTCTCGGTTATTAACAAATAAAAACCGAGTTTTTTCTTCAGTTGAAGAACCTGATGTCCTGTGAAATGCTAACCATTTGTAACATGTCATCTGTTTAGCTGTACGTGGTAGATAAAGGGTGGTTGTTTTGGAAACCGAGTTTTGCTCCCATAGTGACTCGAACAGCTTGGAGGTGAAGGTGTATATCATCTTAGAAATTCCTCTTATCTATTTCGGATTATAGGGACGAGGTTTGATTATGTATAATTTATATGGATATTAGCACGTTTGGTCTCAATTATTAGTAAATTCTTATTTTGGTCATTATTGAGATGATGACTAATGGCATTTAATCTTCTTTTTTTTGAGAATGGTAAACTTTACTTCTATATATCCACAGGTGTACTACAACAAAGTGTATTCTCCCATCACAAAATTCTCTTTACAAAATCCTAATAATTCTAATTACAACCAGTCAATTGCATTAAAAACATTTCCAGTGTTGTCTATAGCTACTTGCACCAAAAATGGTAAAGGCCTAAGCAGTCTATCTTGATCTTCTGTATGTTGCTCTTTTTGCCTTCAAAATGTCTCTGATTTCTCTCCTTCCATATGGTCCACCAGATACATGCGGGAACCATCTTCCATCTCTCCTTTCTTCCTGCATTTCTGTCATTGTTCCAACTTTTTAGCACTTCTTTAATTCTCCCAGGTTTCACCCACATGATCTTCCTCTTGTGTAAAAACATCTGCAACAGTTGGTCTGTTCATTTACAATGCAAAAAGAGATGGTTGACTGTCTCTATTTGTTCTTCATATAGATAGCATATCTAGAGCATAGGTTATGTATCCTCTTGTTAAGGTTTTCATGAGTGAGGATTGCTTCCTTTGTCAGTAACCATGTAAAGTAGTTTACCTTATAAGGCACTTTGGTCTTCCAGATCATTCTCCATGTCCATCCTATCTCCTGAGTATTTGTTCCTGTCAGATCTTTGTAAGTAGACCTGACAGTGAAAATACCTTTGCTATCCACCTTCCACACCAAGTTGTCCTTTTCTTCTGTAAGGTTGAGATTTTGAGGGACTGTATTCTGAAAATCTGCTATAAAGTTCACTTCACAGTCATTTAAATTCCTTCTTAGATGAAGATTCCAACCTTGTCCTGTCCATAGTTCAGCCACATTAGCATCTTGGGCCTACATAAGTTGTAAAGTTCATGAAAAATTTGATTCAGAGGTCATTGCCCACACTATACATCCTTCCAGAAAGCCACCTTCTCTCCATTTCCAACCTTGCAACTTGTTCTTGTTGAAACTAGTTGCCATAGTTTCCTGATGGATCTCCATACACTACGATTATAAGGAGTTGTCACTTCCTCTGTCATCCATCTATCCTGCATGCCATATTTTGACCTGATCACTTCTTTCCATAGAGCTTCTTCTGGAGATGCAAACTTTCATAACCACTTCATCATTAGACTTTTGTTATGTCTGTCTAGCTTCCTAATGTTTAAGCCCCATCCTTTCTTGCTTTCCAGTAGCTCCTCCCATTTCACTAGATGATATTTCTTCTTGTCTTCACTTTCTTTCCATATGAAGTTTCTCCTAACAACATCCAGTCTATCAGTAACACTGGCTAGGATAGGAAAGAGTGACATCATATATGAAGGGATAGAGTCCATTACACTGCTTACCAAAGTGAGTCTACCACCTGTGGATATGTATTGGCTTTTTCCAGTTTGCTAATCTTTTTTCACTTCTCTCTATCACACCACTCCATATGTTCTTGGACTTGCTCTTAGCTCCTAAAGGCATTCCCAGATATGTGGTTGGGAGTTCACCCATTTTCCCCCCTAACTTTTCTGCCAGATATTCAATGTTTGGCACTGTATTAACTGGGTATATGAAACTCTTACCCCAATTTATGTGCAAACCAGAAACTGCTTTAAAGATGTTGAAAATAACTCTGAGAATTAACATTTGTTCCCCTGTGGCACCACAAAACACTAGAGTGTCATCTGCATATTGCAAATGTGTTACATGATATATATCTATCTTGAAAAACTGACAGAAATTATGATATAATTAACGGTGCACCCATAAAAAGCATAAAAGTGTCATTGTGTTGTTGGTAGAAGTTAGAGGATCCACTTGTGAGATCCGGGTTCGAATCCAGTTAAAGTGTTTATTTCATTGTTTTTATTTTAAACATCTTAGAGCTCTAGTATAAATTTGCTTAACCGCGTAAGTTTTCCATAAAAAACTATATTTATTTAAAGCTTTATTCGACTTTTATATTTACCAAAATAGTCAATGTTGAAGTCTTTTAAGAAATTATAACTCATAATTGCAATTTTATCTAATATAAAATACATTTATCAGGGTAAGTCTTAATCTACTAAATCATACTTTTATAACTTTGAAAAAATTACTGAAATGCACATCTTATGTTTTCCTTATTTTCAATATCCCCTTCTATTTCTAAAAACCTCTAAAATCCCTTATTTCTTTAATGTATCCGAGCTACATATTAATGTATTCGAGCCAGTATTTAATGTATCTGAACTACATATTATGTATCTGGTTTATTTTATAATGTATCCAAGCTACATATTATGTATCTGAGCTAGTTTTTAATGTATCTGGTTTATGTTATAATGTATCCGAGATACTCTTTAATGTATCCGAGCTACATATTATGTATCCGGTTTGTGTTACTTTTTAAGGGATTAATGTAATTACAAACTAAAGAGGGATAGATTGTAATTTCATATTAAAACTATGTTATTCCTAAAATTTACCCAATAACTTTTGTGTCTTTGTATGACACGATTTTGGTGTTGTTGGAATAAGCACTGCTATTGAAGACGGTCTTAGAGAAGGAGCTGCTAAAGCAACTGCCAAATAACTACTAAATTTCGCATTTCAATTTTTAAAACTTATTTATTTGTAGTAATCTCACGAGTAGTTTGGTTTAGAGACAAGTTTTGCAAAGATTAGAATTATGAAAAATTGTAATTTGTGAATTAAATAATGTAATTATATAGTGTAAATGAATATTTAGTTTGATATATGTATATGTTATAATATATTTGTTTAATTTTTAAATAGATAACACTTTTCTTGATATTATTGTGGGACTTCAAAAGCCTAAGTAGAGGATGGTTGCGGTAGCCGGTAAGTCGACAACCAGCATAAAACTTGTCAATTCATGATGAATCTTTATAACATATAAATCATTCGAACATGCTCACCTAGTTGATATATGTGTTTAAATAACAAAAATGAAAATTCACTTAACTAACCTCAACTTATTTGAGACTGAATTGTAATTATTGTTATTGTTGTAATACTATTACGAACTTTAATTTTGTCGTTTCAACATTTACTTAACACATATATTAGCCATAAAATAAAAAAAAGGGTTCCATTGAGCTTCTCATAGAAGTACAATAATCGCGCACTTCCTAGGACTTGTGTATAAAAATATTTCATCGAGTTTCTCATAGAAATACAAACGTATCGCCCATTTCCTACGGGCTACAATCTGACTTTTGTATAAAAATAATAATCAAATATACCTCTAAACTTTATGAAAAATATCAAATATACCCTTGAATTTTACGAAAAAGATCAAATATATCTATTGATTTTTTTTGTGACATTTTTGACCCTATACTCTTGTTAATTTAAATCCCCAAAAATTCAACATTAAGGTCCTTGCAATTGAAGTGTTCTTCAAGACATCAAAAACTCAGTCTCTCTTCATTAGCAAAAGCATTCTGCAAAAACTTCGATTCGTTTCTCTAAATCACTCTCCAATGTCGGTAAGTTCTTCTTCTTCTTCCTTCGTTCTATGAACTGTACAATTTTTTTTTTTCCTTTTTATGCTTAGTACAGGTGTAAAACCTAGTTCTTTTCGTAGATCGAATTTGAAATCTGATTAAATAGTGTATTTTCATTTTTTGGTAATTTTTATGAACAGATCTTTGAGTATAATGGAAGTGCTTTGGTTGCGATGGTTGGGAAAAACTGTTTCGCTATTGCGAGTGATAGGCGTTTTGGAGTACAGCTGCAGACAATCGCTACTGATTTCCAGAGGATTTATAAAATACATGAGAAGCTTTTTATTGGACTTTCTGGCTTGGCTACTGATACTCAAACACTGTAATTTCTAATTTTTTTAATTCTGTTTTTTGCTAGCTAAAGACAACTACGAGCATGTAAGGGTGTGAGTTAGTAGTCAATGAAGTGGGGGTGAGAATCATGAGTTTTCAGTTTTGAATCCTAGCAGAAATAAAAAATACTAGGTCATTTCTTCCCATATGTCCTAGGTTTTGGTGGTCAGAGTTTTTAGTACCTCGTGCAGGCGGGGGGTGGAAGGTATCTTTTGGAATTAGTTGAGGTGCGCCCAAGCTGGTTTGGATGCCACAATTATAAAAAAAAAGTTAGATAGGACACAATGAAAGAAAAAGATCAACATCGGTGATATGTGCAAGTTCTAGACTTATTAGAGAACTTCTAATATTATTATTTTTATCATTATTGTATATATTTAACTTGTTTGGCACTGAGGCGTAGAAGTTGTAGTTATTATTAGTACTATTTTTGCTGGCTCCCCATTGTGTTGGGTGTTGTAAGCCTTTATTTTTTAGAAATTACCATCATTTATCAAAGGACCTATTTCTTTATTTTGGAAAGCTTTATAGAGCACATTAATTAGAGAAGTATATTGGAGTAGAAATTTAATATTTTGAGTGAGAGTTTGGAGTTAGTGATTACTGACAAAGAGGAAGGCTTCCTGTGGGTTGGATGTGTGGGGAGTGGACAATAAAGGGTGAAACTGGTGTTTTACTTATTTATTTGCTGATGCATTCTTGTTGATTATGGATAGGGAGAGGGTGTATTACAATCTGTGTATTAATAGTTTGATTTGTTTGGATTATGCATACTGATATGGGCTCTTGGTAATGGTTTCTTCAGGCAGCAACGCCTCATGTTCCGTCACAAGCTATATGAGCTTAGAGAAGATAGGGATATGAAGCCCGAGACCTTTGCCAGTCTTGTATCTGCTATGCTTTATGAGAAAAGGTTGGTAACTAGCATATGTTCTTTGACAGTGTGTTAACGTTTACTTCCTGAAGATTACATGATGTCAGAGTCATAATTGCATGTTCTTGAATATGAATAGCATTTTTGAAGATTTGATGAGATAGTTTTTAATTGAGTATTAAGTGTTTAAATGGCTTCCTTTAGAGTCAATTGGACTTTTAAGAACTTTGTTGTACTTGGTAAACTAGCAGAGGTGTGTGCAAGCATGCCCAGATATTTTTAAAAAAGAGAAGCTAATGTTTGGTGGCTTGTTCCACTAGTCTTTTGAGCCCAAAGTTCAAACCCTTAGTTTCAAGTTCCAAACTAGCTAATGATCCGTTGGATCTTAGACTTAAGTTGTCTTTAACTGATGAGTGTGCCGAGACATCGTTTTCCATTTGATAAACTAGATCTGAGGTTTCATTTATTAGATTAGAAGAAAGAGAGGAGAATAGAGAGAAAAGAGATGTGAAGAATGAGTAAAGAAAAATCAGAGGAGCGCAGAAAGGACTCTTTATTGTGAAAATATTTCCTACATTGTATCCAAGGTTACTCAAGTTAGGAGGATGTGCTCAGATATGGGTAGAAATCACATCAGATGACGTGTTCTTACTTCTAAAAAAAATCCAATTGCTTGCTATATCCCCCCCCCCCCCAAAGCCCCCCATATGCAGACATGTTTTAGACATCATACATTGATTTTAGAGGTATGATCCATATAAAGTGGTTAATTAAATAATTAACGCAAGCTCTCAAACTCTCTTTTCGAACATCTCGTGTTCGTATTTGAGCTAAAAAATTAATCAAGCTTAACCTTAGCATTTGGACTTAATGAACTAAACAAGAAATGCTCACTCCAAATAGCTGCTTTAGTCGGACAAAACCTGTTAAATCCAGTCTGGGTTGTTGTTTTGTCATCCATGATCAATGCTTCATCAACTTGTTAATAACTTCATTATCCATTTGGTTTTGTGTAGGTTTGGTCCATACTTGTGCCAGCCTGTAATTGCTGGATTAGGAGATGATGACAAGCCTTTTATTTGCACAATGGACTCTATTGGAGCAAAGTATGTTGAGTTTCTTTCTACTGCTAAAATTTGGGGACTTATGTACTCTGCCAGGGTCTCCATGGCATTGCATGCTTATAGTATTGCTACTTATTAGATGTAATGCTTGTCGTGCAGGGAGCTCGCAAAAGATTTTGTTGTTTCTGGTACTGCATCTGAATCACTTTACGGTGCCTGTGAGGCGATGTACAAGCCCGACATGGTTTGTACTGTTCTTGCTTTATTTTTTGCCATATAATTAGATAATCTGTCTCTAGCTTGAATGCCATGTATCACATGTCCATTTTTTTGTTATGTAATGGGAATAATCTTCCTAGAGTTGCTGAAGTGCTGCTTTCATTTGATGCTTCAGCTGGCAGTTGGTGATATATGTTTGGAGACAACATCATGGAGTCCCATATGTCACTGTTCTCTGTTTTGATTTATTAAAACTAGCAGATTTGACAAATTGATTTTCTTTAAGCAGACACTGCTTGATGGGTGAAAAATCTGACATTAGTAATGCACCAAGGGGGGCAGAGTGTGATAACAATAGATAATATGAGGTAGAGGAGGGTGGTGGTGGTGGTGAGTTAGTATTGTTTGTACAAGGAAAAGTTGAACACATGACATCTTATTATATCGTTGGTTCACAACACAATTGTGGATGTTGCACTTTTTTAATTGATGACTTTAATGATGCTGAGGAGAGGATACAGTATCATCTCTTAAGAACAGAGGATTGGCTAGGAGAACATGGCAGCATGGGAAATTATACCACTATGTATTTTTTGGACTATCCAGAACGAGAGTAAAATAATAAGCTGTAATAATGTACAGAAGCATTTTAAAATATTTCTATCACATTCTTTTAGTTGTAGGCAGAGGATGTGTACAGATGATTGGAATAGCCAGATGTGCTATGGGTGCATTGGGTGGTTGAGCCATTTGAGTCGCTCGCTTTGAAAATTATTTTGGACACCACTATTTCAAAAAAAATATTTATTTTGGACACCATCTTTGTGTGATATCACCGAAATGATTTTTGACTAATCAAACAAAATGAATAAGATGAGTTTTCATGTTAATTGTAAGACAGGTAATTAAGTTACTCTCGAGGTTCAGAACCTTCCATTCCAGATTTTTTTTGAAATTGAATTTCCATTCCAATATTGCATGTACATGCTTCAGAATTTTACTCTGTTACTTCTTTGCAATGCTTCTGTTGTTTGTCATGCATTTATTTCTTATTTTTATTGGCTTTATGGTTTCTTATTGTATGCTAACATTTCAGGGACCGGAAGAATTGTTTGAGACCATCTCTCAGGCACTGTTGTCATCTGTAGACCGTGACTGTTTAAGTGGTTGGGGAGGACATGTTTATGTTGTGTAAGTATTCAGATGCTTTCATATGCCTATTTTCTTGATCATCTCTTTTTAGCAAGTGTCTACCGGAGTCTCTAATTGAAACAAATTATCCATCATCTATTATATTCAAGATGGTGGTCTTTAAGGCAACAAGTGTGTGCCCAACATGTTTAGAGGGTTAGGTAATTCTAGAAAAGCGCCCTCCTTAAAGAGAAATTAGAAGAGCCTGATTGTTTTTTTATCTCAAAAATAAAATAAAATTAGAAGAGCCTGAAGTACAGAGAAGATATGGCATTGTTAGGCATGGCGAAGTGGTTGAGTTGGATTGGTGATGGGATTGGGTTTCCAATGTTGGAGATATGGGTTCTTGCTTGTTGCTTGTTGCTTGGGGAACTGGTTTTAGGAAGACGATAAGTCTTTAAGGCTTTGGCAGAGTGAAGGGGCTTGACAAACTATGTTTCTCGGATCCTCCAGAAATACTGTTGAACTTGTCTCATACCCTCCAAATATGAATAACTTTTGGAGGATTTGTCGGTCCCGACAGCATTTTTAAGGATCTGAACAACATTGCTGGCAGAAGGGTGGTTGGTTGGAGAAAATGGTTGTTACATGTCGTAGTTAATGCATGTTGAGATTCTCCACAAACCCCAATTACATGTTGTGGTTACTTGGAGTTTTCAGTTTCCTTTTTCATTTATTGATCCTTGGTGGGGGTGGGATGGGGATCATGACATATTTAATGAAATCATATTAGTTTAAAGTGATTTGTTTTTATGTTTTTGGGTACTCCAATCTTATTTGTTCCAATCTATGTATGTGTGGTTGCAGGACACCAACTGAAGTGACAGAGAGGATCTTGAAGGGAAGGATGGACTAAACACATGTGGGGTGCCATATTTGTTCACTATTGCATTTCACTGGGATGACATTTCACTTGTTTTGATGAATACTCAACATTTCATATTTGATGTTATCGTATCAACTTCTCTCCAAGATTGTTATTTAATAGATTCAGTTGTCTGTCAGTAATGAATGTTAACATTGTAGTTAGTTTACAATCCTCTATTTGAGCATCCCAACAAATTTCTGCCATCACACACTAGACATTCTTGTCATTAGGCTATACAACGTAATGCCAAGATTTTCCAAAATGCGCCCTTGTATGGTTACAGCGTGTTGCGGTGACACTGTAACCAAGTTGATTGAGGAAGAGATGATTAACTTTGACATTGTTATATGGGTATGGATTGGCTATTGTCTTCGTGTCTTACTATGCTATGCTCGATTGTCGTGCCAAGATCATGAGATTTCATTTTTTACCATATAGTTTTTGCCTATGTAGTGTTTTGGTTATCTTCTCCGTTGGAACTAAGTCATGCTTTGAGAAGATACTCAGAATCCTTGAATGTATCAAATGGTCTTCGTGAAAGGGAGACAAATTATACAGAAGATGAATCAATTTCTTTTGAGACTCCTTGTGGAACTGCAATATTGTAGGAAAGATAGACTTTGGAACAGATATTAATATACAATCTTCAATTTCCTCTGCAGACCATAGAAAGTTGGGTTGGTTCTTCCTAAGGCAGAGAAATTTCCATCGTCCCCGTAGGTCATGTAATCAGTTCTCAACCTCCATGAGGCGGGGGGAAGGTCTATATACATTCTACTCTCACCAAACCCTGCTTATGGGACTACACTGGGTTTATTGTTGTTGTCATTAATCAGTTTTTGGCAAAACCTGTGTCACGTTTAAATCAGCCAATATTGGTTGAGGCTTGACCAAAATGGTGTCAACATGATAATGTGATAGAGGTGTCTATTGCCAACTTGAGGGAAGAACAAAGTATCAGCGTGAGGTTCACGAGTCAATGTGTATAGAGTTACTACCTTTATGCATCGGAAGTTCCTGTAAAATGGAACATAAGTAGCCAGTTGAGACTCTTTTGTCATACACACACAGCTACACGCTACACATCAAGACGAATGTGAGGCTCGTATTAAAGATAAACAGGTTAGTACTATTAAGTAGAAGAATTACAACACAGGACCCCAAAGAAAAAAAAACCTAGGGCATACCTTCAGTTTTGATCCCAGGACGAAGCCCAATGAGGGAAAAAAATGAGCTCATGTTGAATTAAGTTGAAGGAGCAATATCAAAGGAATGAAGAATCTGTTCCAACGTATTTCTTCTATCTGGATCAATAGGACTTTCTAACCCATCAGAGTGAGCAATGTTTAACAGATAGAGCTTGCCAGATGCCACAAATGCAGCAGAAAGTATCCTCTTCAACCCTCCCCTCGTGCTATCAACCTTGTACTCAAACTCATATACTTGAAGACCTCCTTCACCCGTTCTCTCCGATACTGAAACCACTTCAGCCTCCTTTGTACTTTCCTAAAAGTAAAAAAGACATAGTACTATTAGTTGCCAATAATCCTTAGAAGCAAAATATTTCAGTGGGATCTACAGTCTTTCGACATCCTTCTATAAAGTCCAAATTTAAAAATCTCACTTGCTGATAGGATTGTTGGATAGGGTAGAAGGTCAGTAGGTAGTGGAGGGTTGTTATTGCTTTTCGAGGGTTTAGGCTTGTTGGTGTTTGTCACTGTACTAGCCGTATTATTCTTGCTTATGATATCTATCATCGTTTGTTGTTTAATGTATTTCGACTATCACACTATTTGTTGTTCTTAGTCCTTTCTTGTAGGCTTTACATTGCTTCCTTTGTTAGTTGCTATGTTTTCTACATTGTTTTCTTCTTCTTTAAACTTGGATTTGCTGCACTTGAGTTGAAGGTCTTTCGGAAACAGCTTCACAAGGTAGTGGAAGGTCTGCATACTCTACCCTCCCCAGACCCCACTTGTGGAATTTCACCAGATATGTTGTTGTTGTTACTTTCGGATAGGATTCACCTCCTTTACCAACATAAAAGATATTACCAAGGAAATGGAGATAATGCAAAATATGTGAACAATAACCACTAGAATTTCAACCTCATTAATACTCTTCCGCTTGCTAAGTATAGCAGTTTCTCATTAGTAAATGTAGTTTCGGAACAGCAAGAAAACAGAAGAACAGCAAAAGTAAAAGGATTCTGACCTTGCGTTTTTCAGCCAGAATTAACTTATCTGCCACGAATTGTGGAGTTCCGAATTGGCTAAGGGTTGTTATTTTTACAGGGATAACCACAACGCCCACATTGTTGGATCCCTTGTTTGCATCCTGAAACAGGGCAGTTGCCCCAGCTTTGTCAACCTGAAGAACCCAATAATAATATAATCAGTATCCAAAACCTCTTCATCTGGTACCAGTGGCGGAGCCAGGAATTTCACAAAGAGTGTCCAGAAATAGCTCATTCCTAGGAGGTGAAAGCACTGGGCTACAATAATTTGTTGTGTTAAGGGTGTCCAAATTATGTTATTTAATCATTTCGTGTATCATTTTACTTGTATATACGGTATTATTTTCCGACGAAGGGTGTCCAATTGAACACCCTGACCACCATGTGGCTACGCCACTGTCTGGTACACCTCTGAGAGTGATTTTTTTCTCCTTCCAATTATGTGTGCGTGTCTACGTGATAGAGTAAGGATTTGCACAACATCAATCATGATAACAATTTTGGTCTAGGGTGGTAATCAACACTGATAAGCTATGTTGTTCGGACTCTAAAAAATGTCAAAGAGTGTGTCAAATTCACCAAAAGTAGTGTATTTTTTAGAAAGTAGCTGAGTATGTTTGGCAAAACCAATTTGAAAAGCATCTTTTGTCAATATTAGAATCATCAATTTGTGCTTGATCGATGTCCCAAAAGTGCTTCGAAAACTCAACTTTTTTAGCCTAAAACAACTTATGCTACTACTCTAAAACACCTTCCCCCCTAAAATGGCCAAAAACCTAAACTTTTAAAAACATTACTCCCTTTGTCCCAATTGTTATCACTCACTTTTCTTTTATGTCCTTCAAACAAGAATGCCACATTTCTATATCATTAACAATTTAACTTCAAAATGCTCATTTTACCCTAAATGAAATAACTTTTAACCATACTACGACTTACTTGAAACCACCTTTCTTAAACTCCATATAAGTCCAATTACATCACATAAACTGATAAGCAAGGAGTAAATAAAAAAGGACATTTTTTACTACAGAGAAGTTTGGCTGAATAGCCTAATATAGTTTACATTTACAATTAATCTAAGCAAAAAAAAAAAACAGAATATGTTTTGGTAGCTGATTAATTAGTGAAAGCTGCAAATACAATAACAATTCTCGATTAGTTTAGGGGTAAAATAAGGGCAAATCGAACCTTGCTCCAAGAAGAGGGTTTGAGGAGAGTGAAACCTTCAGCTGAATCCGTATATCTTTCAAGCTCTAACACCTCACCAATGGCAATAGCGGAGCTTGAGAAAGGTATCGACAGTAACACCGTCAAAATTGATACATTCAGTGCTCGTCTCGTTGAATAAGTTGGAATCAATTCATTATCATTTGATGACACAATTAAGGATCTGTTTCTCGTTTTCAACTGTAATGGGGTATTAATGGATATGCTCGGGAGGCGTTGAGAGAAGCCATTTTGAAGGGGACTTGAGCAAGATACTGAGCTAATGGCGGACATTGTGTGTTACAGTAATTGAGAGGAGATGAAAGGAAGGGTCATCTTATTTGTTCTGCCTTTGCCTTACATGAACTGAACTGAGGTCCATTTGTTTTTATCAACATTAACACGTCTCAATCTGAATAAAATATGAAAATATTTTTTTTAATTTTTTGAAAAATAAATGAATTTCTTATTTATTGTCTTAATATTTTTTTTTTTTTATATAATTAGCAAAATATTTTGAAGATGAGATAAAGACATGATTAGGGATTCTAGAGGGTGGAGTGGTGGGATAGTAAAGAAGTGGATTTTGAGGGTGTTGGATGAATCGGAAAAGAGATAACAAGCTTGGAATATCATTTATGTTGTTTGTTTTCCTATATATTTACGAACTATATAAAAATACTATAATTCATATAAAATATTGAGAAAGTATTTAAATGATAAAATAGATAGAATAAATATTTATTTAACGATCTATATTAATTGATCATTATCCTAAAATAGCATATCATATTAGTTATCTTCTATCATACTAAATCAAAGAAACATTAATTCAATTTTATTTTTTTTGAAAAGCAATTTTATTTTTTTTGAAAAGCACTCGCAATCAAATCTAAGGTTATGAGAATTGAGAAGTATAATTTGTGGGAGCTCTGTAAAAAGCTTTAAATAAAAAACTATTACAACAAAAAATAAAATTAAAAAATCAACGACATATATAAACTGAGAGGGAAAAAAAACCATTGCAAATTCCCCTTTTTCAGTTGTGAGCGGTGGAGAATTGTTCGACGTGGAAGACGATACGTTCGATGGCGGAACAGCAGAGAACCTAAAAATAAGGAAATTGAGAGCAAAAATCTGAAATTATAGTCCATTTCTATGGCCATGTCAATGTCACTGCGACTTTGTTGCAGACCTTCAATTTCTGTAAGTTTATAATAATCTAACTGTGAATAACCGGCAGCTATTTTATCTAATTGTTGACTTTGTTGATGTTTTTATGCCGAATTGCTGTAAGTGTTAGATTTCTGAGATACATTTCTAGGCATATAGTGGGAAATGTTCTCTCTATTTTCTTTCTTCTTCCTTTTTTGTTTTGTTTTGTTTTTACTTTTGAAGAAGGATCTAATCATATGGCAGCCAAGGGTGTTACTTAGTGGTCAATGACGTTGGTTGGTTGAGCACCATGAGGTCTCAAGTTCAATTCCCAATAGAAACAAAAACATTACCGGATTTCTTTTAATCTAGAAGTCTTATTTCTAGCCTTGGTGGATAGAGGTGCGTGGTATTTGTTGTTGGTGGGAGGTGACAGGTATCCATGGAATTAGTCGAGTGGTGCAAATGTTGGTGGGAGGTGATAGGTATCCATGGAATTAGTCGAGTTGTGCAAATGTTGGTGGGAGGTGATAGGTATCCGTGGAATTAGTCGAGTTGTGCAGAAACTGATCCGGACACTATGGTTATAAAAAAAAGGATCTAATCATATGCAATGACCAAATGAGCCGTGTATCTTTTAGTTTGATAACCATGGAGTTGGTGCCAGTTTGCTTGCACTTCGACTAATATAGAGTGTATTTGCTACCTCAATACTGAGTAACTCTGTCCATCAAGCTGTCCTTACCTAGTATTTTTGCATTGGTTGGGGTTAAATCTGACATCTCGTGATTCTCAACCTACTTCATTGATCATACTAGACCAATATATTTATACAAGGGGATTCAAAAAAGTTCTAGAATATCACAATTGGAAAATGGAATTGTGACTTAAAGAAAAATTTTGGACCTTCTTTATTACTACACATGAATCTAATCATATGCTAGGACTAAATAATCTTTTGAAGTGGCAGAGCTTTAGTTTGATAACCACTAAGTTTGGGTTAGGGTCCGTTTATGCGCACCTTGTCTAATTTCAGTTGTATTTGCTACCTCCCACCAACAAATATTGAGTAACTCTGTCCATCAAGGTTGTGCTTACCTAGTATTTTTGCATCAACTGGGGTTTAAATCTGACACCTCATGATTCTCAACCTACTTCATAGACCACTAGACTAATATATTTATTACAAGGGGATTCAAAAAAGTGCTAGAATATCACAATTGCAAATTGGAACTGGGACTTAAAGCAAATTTTCGAACTTCTTTATTACTACACGGGAATCTTTGGTTGAGATTCAACAGTTAACGCAACAACTACACCTCATATATACAACAAAAAATAGTTCATTTTTGCCCTACTAGGACAGTATGATTTACGGTGAAGGGGATACAATTGAACCCCTTGCCTCCACTTAGCTCTGCAACTGTTCTTTTGGATATTAGAGTTATGGTACCTTTAACATATAGATTTTGGTGGTACTGATAAAATTATAGCGATAACGTGTAAATTGAATGGGCAGGGCTTCAAGAATAAAAGAGATTTGTTGGGCTTAGAATTGGCAGGTGAGTCTTTGTTCAGGGATATCAAGTTCGTAATATATGTACTTATAAGTTCTCTGGCTCCTGAGCAGTTTATTTTCTTGTTTACAGCTTATCAATCAAGTAATCCAATGGGGAAATGGTTTAGTGGAGTGAAGAAGTTCATCCCCTTTGAGGGATATGCTAAGTCTGTGAAAACAGCAGCACGAATATCATTTCCAAAGATCTCATCAGACTGTACAGATAAAGAACCTTCAAATTTTTTGAGTCACAAGAAGATGGTTCCTTATTCGGACCCGCCTAGCATGGAAGATGTGGAAAGTTTGTATGAATTCTTTGATAGAAGGTAGGAATTGTGCTCCTTTTTTTGTTTTGGATTAGAAAGGTCCGGAAAATACAAAAGTGGATGTTTAGCTACTTCTATTGTGCTGGAGAATACTTGGTTGTCCTTGGAAAAATTTGCTTGATTAGTCGCTTGCCCTTTTTCCTTTTGTGCTGCAATGGTCTAATTCTACAGTCTCATGTAAGGAAATGTGAATTGTTTCATGTATTTCTATATATTCATTCCGAGGACCCTTCTTTACTCTTTCCCATTTTCTCGGTAAGGCATTTTTGTTGTTTCTTTCTAATCATTCTGGAAGAAGAAATTATGAACCAAGTCAACTATTTCATCTGTTTATGTCTTCTTAAATGGGTGCAACAATGTTCATTATACATAGATTATGTAGTACAGAGGGATTCACAATCACGTGGCAACTAAGTATAGGAAAGAAGGTCAAAATTACAGGGAAAAGCAGAACGAATGGAGGGAAAGAGGGGCAGAGGTTACGTGAATTGTGAAATGTATTTACTACAAAAGAGAGTGCAACTGAAATAGCATTTCCTAAGCAGATTATCAAAGACATAGAATCCCTTGAAACTCACTGCCATCATTTACATCAAATCCCTCTATTTATTTCTTGCATTTGGTAGATTTGTAACGATAACAAGGCCGTTGATTCTGACCACACTTCTTTTTACTGCTATTAAGTTCATTATTTTGAAGTCATAAAATTCAAAAAAAAGGGAAGAAAGATATTATTTCAAAGTCATTTAGCTAAATAATATGTGGTTTAACAGTCCAAGTAGCTAAAGTTTTTGTGATATAATACACATAGTATAGATGTATTTTTATTTGTTATCTGAATTTACTACTATGTGATAAGCCTACATGCAATTTTATCAGGCATCGTGTGTTTCTACTTTCTGTATTACAAACTAGAACTTTAGTGGTGATTCATTTGCTGATTCTTTAATTGTAGGTCAAATTGGGTGTCCCTTTAGCCACACTTGAGTTATAAAATACTACTTTCTTTTGTGTTCTCTTCTAATATCAACTACACTATGACATGAATTACTGACTAGTTCCTTTCCATTGTTTTTGTAGTACCAAGCTTGTTGTATTGACGGGAGCTGGCATGAGCACAGAGAGTGGAATTCCGGATTACAGAAGGTTGGTTTAAAACTAGATGAGCTTGCTCAACGTTCTCAACAGTCAACAGTTTGATCATTCTCTGAAGTTGATAATTTGAGTTACATTTCAAAAGGAAATACATTTTACTGCTAAGGGAAGAAGACGTTGTCAATATTTAATTTCTCATCCTAGCTGAGTTACATTTCTAAAAAGGAAGACACATTTCTTATTAAAATCAGAAGGCTGTCAACATTTAGTTTTCCTGCTATTTGGTGCAGTTATAAACAAATTAAAAAATCTGACTTTTTTGGTGTTGAGCATTTATATAAATTGTATCAAGTGAGGATTAAATCTGAAAGTGCGGCAAGATGTCCTGTTCGATTCAATGCAGGACGGTACTGTGAAACCAAAGTTTCTTTGTAATTACTCTATTTTGAGCATTCCCTGCAGTTTTCGCCTTTTTCTATAGGGTGGTACGTCTGTGTTGTGTTTAAGAGTGGAGTTGGGGATTCAGTATTACAGCTTTGTGCTGCTTCTAAATTTTATTTTGGGGCCTGATATTTTCTGTATAAAGAAGTTAAGTGATATTTTTGACAAATGGTAATGCTTTTCCCTCTTCTCTTGGCAGCCCAAACGGAGCTTATAGTACGGGTTTCAAACCAATTACCCATCAGGTGATTTGAAGGCATGTGCTATGATTCTTGGTTCCATTGAAGTGTCATTATTCACTTATAAATACCATTTCTCGCATATCTCACAGTGGAAAAAAAATGTATCAGTCTACTATGGATTTAGTTCTGTTCATCTCTAGACCTATATATTTCTTCTAGACAATAAATCCTACATGAATTTGGTTTTGGTCATCTCCAGAAATATATACATGATACAACAACTGTCCCAAATAGGTTGGGATTGGCTTATGAATACTCATGTTTCTCCATTTAAGCTCAATTCATGTCATCATCATACCAAAAAAAGATTTAAAAAATAAGTTAGACCTATTCCCAACTAGTAGATCTCACCTATATGGATCTTTTCCTTCTACTAAGTCCTATCGTTAGCTAAGTGTGCTTTGATTCCCAGAAATTGTAGGTCTTTCGAGACAACTTCCTTATTGTTATTTCTACCTCGTCCTCTTTAACACCTTCACTCACCATAGTTGCACTTGCACATCTATGCACCAGATGTACCGGTTGCAGCTGTAGGTCGATGCAGAGCATGACC